TTACATTTCCTCTCTCCCCTAGATTGTATAGAGTCCAACAGTCGGGCTGAGATTATTGTGATGCGCAAAGACATACTTGTAGAAGGTCTATACTTTACATTTCCTCACTCCCCCATGTTGGGTAGACACCGTCAGTCGGGCAATAATGGCCGTTTTTTGCACAAAATACATCGTCACTTCGGAATTACAAATTTCTATCTGACATTTTTGGCTATTTATGGGCACTAAGACCATAAAGAAAGAAACCATATATTTTATCTGATCTAACAAAATCGTAAGATTATTCGGAGTCGTTATTTAGATATTCGAAGAATTGCATTCGAAAAAGCTTGACCCGATGTGAAAATCAAAATCTTTAACATCAAACTTCTCAGAACTAGGCACTGAGCAGATAGAATTTTGTACATTTGAGGAAACGACATAGGGGGTCTATAGGTCACTTTTCCTCACTCCCCCATGTTGTATTGACGCCAACATTCGGGCAATGATTATCGTGATGCGCAAAGACATGGGGGAGGGGGGGTCTATACTTTACTTTTCTTCACTTCCTTAGGTTGTATAGATGCCATCAGTCGGGCTGAGATTATCGTGATGCGCAAAGACATACTCGTAGAGGGTCTATACTTTACATTTCCTCACTCTCCCAGGTTAAACAGACGCCGTCAATCAGGCTATAATGATTGCGGTCCCCAAATACATCGTTACCTCAGAATGACAAAGTTCTATATGAAATGTTTGGCTGTTTTTGGGTACTAAGACCATGAGGAAAGAAACCATATATTTTATCTGCTCTAACAAAACCGTAAGATTATTCGGAGTCGTTATTAAAATATTCAAAGAATTGCATTCGAAAAGCTTGACCCGATGTGAAAATCAATATCTGTAATGTCAAATTTCTCAGAACTAGGCACTGAGCAGATAGAAATTTGTAATTCTGAGGTAGCGACAGAGGGGGTCAATACTTTACTTTCCCTCATACATTCCCCCATGTTATATAGACGCGAAACATTTGGACTGAGATTATTGTGGGGGGGGGGGGTCTAGACTCTATTCTTTCCTTTCCCTCACTCCCCCAGGCTGTATTGACGCCGACATTCCGGCTGAGATTACTGTGATGCGCAAAAACACGGGGGTCTATCCTTCTTTACTTTCCCTCATTCCCCCATGTTGTATAGACGTGAAACATTCGGACTGAGATTATCGTGATGTGCAAAGACATAGAGGGTCTATAGTTTACATTTCCTCAATCCGCCATGTTGTATAAACGTCACACATTCGGGCTGTGATTATTGTGATACGCAAAGACATTTGGGGGGGGGGGGGGG